TCCTTCGTACAACCTTAAGCCCCTCAGTACTTTCTTTTCATAATTGAGCTGTTGCCAACGACATTGAGGCAGTTGAAGTAGTTAACTTAGGTGAGGTAATTGTAGATGATCATAACATGTCTTCAAACCCACTCACGGGAGCTAGTCAAGGCTTTCGCCTTTGGGCAGATTGCTTGTCCAATGTGCTCCTCGCCAACCCATTTTGGCTGGCTCTTGTGAGAAATTCTTTCACGTGTTTGAGTTGAACATCGCAGACATGGTAGATGTCGGAAAATGTCATAAATGGAGATCCTTGTGATCCGATTGGTGGCGAAAGTGATGCTTTTAGATTATTTCGGTGCCAACCCCTGTACCTTTTGAGGCAACGGGTTGAGGAGAGGCGAAATGAGCCCCTCGACGGTTTTAGATTATTTCTGCGCCAACCCCCAAACCCTTTGAGGCGACGGGGCGAGGAGAGGCGAAAGGAGCCCTAAACAATTTAGTTGGTCAGGTTTTATTGAACAACCTGATTACTATGAGTTGAAAACCCAAACCAACCCTTAAGTTGCATAAAGTTAAGATCATATCAACATTAATCATCAAGCCGCCAACCCTTAAGTTGCAATGCATGACATAATTCTGATAGAAACTTTAGAAATTTGTATATGGAGTTCTAGTCTACCAAAAGTTGTGTTTTTTAATATTTTGGAAAGCCTGAGAAAAGTACTACAACTCTGTTTTTGTCACCAAGAGATGATCCAGGGGTTAACTAAATCAAACAACACAAGGATTCAGATTTATACAGAACACATGCAAAATCTAACAGGGAATTTCTAAAATTCGTAACTCCTAAACCTTTTGGCCTAAAATCATGAAAATTTAGTACAACAAGGATCAATAAGTTATATACAACTTTTGTATTGTCAAGTTTCACAGTTTTCATCATGAAAACATCACTTCAACAGAAACTACACTTGCAGCTTTTCAGCACATATATACACATATCCATCACTTGCCTCACTAACAAACAAGCACACCCATGCTATACATGCAGCTCCCTATCATGGCACATTTAATTGATCACCTAGGAGAAGGGGTAGCACAAGTCATCAATCAAATTCGCATATAATCAAACTTCTATTACTTTTAAAAGTTTAATTGACATTCATACTAATAAAAGGAATACATCACATATATGATCATACCAAGCTTAAAACCACTACTAGCATAGTGAGCTCCAAATAACCAACAACCAGTAAGGACATATCATAAACATCATAGCTATATATATTTATCACTACTAAGCCTTCATTAATCTTTTATATATTAAGACATATATGTTAATAAAAGGTGGTGTGGCAAACATAAAGTTTGGAGCTAAGATTTTTATGGGTGGTAGAAGATAGCCAAACATAGCTACTGTAAAAAGATTACATGCTCAGGTTTAGTAGATTAATTACTACAATTTAAACAAGTTTTAATTGCAATAAAGCATGTGAGATGGAACCCAAACCAAAAGTTTAATAAGGATGAAAATGATCACTTTGATAGTTCTAATGAAATGGAACCCAAACCAAAAATTTCCACAACACAAAGGAAATATAAATAGCATATATATCAATTGTGTTAATTAAATTGTTACAAGATACTCCCTCCGCTCCGGTTTCTAAGGACACTCACTGTTGGTTTAACCAACAAACTTAGGGAGTGAGGCGTGAGAGAACGAATGAGAGAGTAAGGAAGAGATCCGAGTGATCAGCCCACAAGGTCGTTCTCCACCTCCCCCTCTTCCCCCTTTACAGGGGAGGTGGGAGAGGAGGTTCTCTTTAGGCCCTACGGCAAAGTTTGTACTTACAAAAATGTCACTACATGCTACAAAATGGATCTCTGATGGGGTTTGTATTCACAAAAATCCCACTAAAGACTACGAAAGACCTCCAAATATAATTTTACGAGCCCTAGGCTACGTGATTGACCCTGAATATGATAGTGGCGTCCCTAGTATATACACATCCCCAACGTCATAGTTTCCTTCTACACGCGCTCAACGCGCCGGCGTCCATCATCCTTGCCGCCGTAGTGGATGCGCCGAAGCTAGGCCGGACCCGCCACTATACTCGAGGGGCAACGCGAGGCTACTGCGGGCGTCGGCCTTCCCTTCTTCTTTGCGCCCACACACCACCGCTGACCAGGCTAGGCCCCGCGGGCCTCCCCCGCTGTTGCGTTCGTGCCACAGCTTGCCGGCCTCTGCGCCGTCGCGGACTCGCGGCTCTCCTCCGCGCCCCCGCACGCTGTGCTTGCACCATGTCAGCTAGCCATGGTGGTGGTAGCGCCCCCTTGCCTGGACCGTGCCGCACCTCATCCATGGTAGCGGACATCTCGTGAAGGCTGGAGAGAAGAGGAAGAAGATGAGGGAAAAGGTGATTGGATGGGGTAAGGAAGGGCCCCATACGAAAAATTTTGCACTGTAGGGTGTGGTTCCTATGAGTAGGTTCTTGTGTCATAAAAACACTAAGTTGTTTTTTTAATCAAAGTTGTTTTTTTTTGTATTGGGAGTGTCTTAATGACACTCACAATGCAAGAAACTATTAGTAGTTTCTGTAGAATAGGACATCGTATCAAGAAACTGTCCTTCTAGTGCAAGATTTTTCAATTGGATGCGACATAAGTAGTGATAGAAACCATGTTTGCTCTCCCAATATGGTTACGAGTAATTTCTTGTCCATCAATAACCGTGAAGACCCTGTTTATTAGTTAGACTTTCTTAGTTTGTCTCTCTCCTCATTAAACCACTTGCCACATTAGCAAATTACTTATGTGGCAGTGCAATTAATCTCTTTAGATACTATCATAGTTTCTGCACGGTAGTGCCCTAAAAGACGAACATGTTTTTGAGTTTGGCCAATTTGTCAGGCGCGGCTGCAATCACCGAAGCTTTTTTCGTTGGGCAATTCTCGTGGAAATCGAAGCGTTTTGCATGTACTGGTGAATAGGGCATCCCAACGGGGTACATCTAGCTACCTATTTGAGTACGTGGCAGAAAGAGAACGCCCAAACTTAATAGCTAGCGATGAGTTCATCGCCTAGCTCGCACAGGTTTCTATAAATCTACTCTCTCTGCTGCCGAGACCCACTCTTGCTTATGCTGTGGGGCTCACAGCTTTATTTCCTTTTCTTCTTATTTGTATCATCCGGCGATTTACATTCCCTTGTCGAGGACGCCCTTAAAGAGCTCCTTTTGCGTTCGTGCATGCATCCATGCAAAAATGGGCGAACCAATCAAACTATGCATTTGTGCGTGGCATGGGGCACGAGAGCGCAACGGAAAAAATTCGGTGCATATAGTATGCACTATGCCTCCATGCATACATGTCCATAGATGGCTGCCACGTGTCCAGTCAACATAATCCAATGCTCATGGTCTTCCTCCGTCCAACTGCATTAATCCATGATTAATTTGGCCCATATAGGCCCATAAAAGGTAGTCTGATACGTGCTGTTGGATCATGAGGTGAGGACATGTGGCAACCATCTATGGCATTTATGCAGAATTTTTTTTCAATGCAACACCTAGTAGACAATTAATGGCAGTCGATGTATTGTTGGTATCGGTGTTTAGCACGGAGCCGCCTAAAGAAACCAGGCCAAAGGGAGTACTAAAATATTTATAATAGAATTTAAAGAAAATATAATATCCATACTTATCTTGCTCTCTCCCTCTCGCAGGACCCCCCATGTCGCCCCTCTTGGGCGGCTCGAGCGGAGCCTGAGACCCGTCTTGAGCCTCCTCCTCCATCTCCTTTATTCTCTCCACCGTGGAAACATGCCATCAAAGGCCGATGGACGTAAGGAGGGCAACCGTGAGGCTTCTCCACTCACTATCTTGGTGGTGGTGCATGGTGGCATGTCTCTTACTAAATATTTAAATTAGACATGTTTGTTGTTGCTCTATTGTATTTGTTGAGTTCAGTTTCTTCTTTTTAATTTAATCGGCAACTCTCTTGTCTGATTCTGTTCTATTGTATTTGTTCAGTTTGGATTTTTTTCTTTTAAATTTAATCGGACAGTTGTCTTGTTTGATATGTTTTGAAAAAGAAGGTATAAGAGACACGTAGGATAAGAATAAGTGATAGTTGACGATCCTTCACGCTATTCGAGCTCGGTCGCGAGACGTGAATCCCACGTTCTTTTTGGTAAAAGCCCGCACGCGGTCTTAAGCAATGGACCAGGGTCGTGGAGTGCAGCACGGGTCAAGCACGGTAGTACTGCTCTACTGCTCTGGTTAGGTTTTTATATGGCCGTTGTTTTCAACTTTTCATTTTTTTCTTCTTGTATGCATCTTCTTTTAGCACGCCGGTGTGATTGATGTAATGTATGTGCTTCGATGCCTCGGTGACGGAAAAGGACCATTATATTTCTGTTCCGGTCACGCACTAGTTAGAACCTGAACATCTGAATCGCACGAGGTCGTTACACGCCGCAGAAAGAGGTCTAAAACAATGAGGCTGATTTGGCGCTCGTCGTTCACCTAAAACACTCACGAATGCCTCCAGCGAAGATTTGTCAAGGAGATGCATAGCAAAGGTGTTAGCGTTATAGGATCGGCAATGCCACTTGGAATGTTGACAAATCTGGTCGATGAATATGCTGGACAGCAAGAGGATTTAAAGAGCTAACGTTTGGAGGTAAAATGCAAGATAGATTAGGTTTTGATCGATTAGATAGATAGATCTTTTAATCAGTCGTTATCCTCTAGACGGGATGGTGTTATCCTAAAAGATTTTCTACACGTAATTTACGCGCTTCTCATAAGGTCGATGAGTTTTTTTTTTAAAAAAAAAACCTCGAATTGGCCTCGGATTGTCAAAACCTGCTCAAGGAGGGTTTTCCTGGGCTAGTTTAGTTGCTGTGTATAATAACTTGCTATCAACGGATAGGTAGGTACCAGATGAGTTCACTCCCAACTCGATCATCAGTACGTACACACGCTGTTGCTCTCCCTTCCATCGTCTATCTCACCGATGCCTTCAACAGCGCTACTACTTGTCATGATCGTGGCCATCATCAGCAGTGCACGGTGCTTCGCATCGGACACCATCACCGCCAACTCCGCCATCTCCGGCGGCCGGACCGTCGTGTCCACAGGCGGCAGCTTCGAGCTGGGCTTCTTCCATCCAGCAGCAGCAGGTGGTGACAGCAACACGGCCTCCTCTCACAACTACTACGTGGGAATCTGGTACAAGAAAGCCGTGACGCCGTGCACGCCCGTGTGGGTTGCGAACAGAGCCGCGCCAGTCTCCGACCCCGCGTCCTCTCAGCTCGCCGTTGCGCCGGACGGCAACCTCGTGCTCACCAACGAGGTCGGCGAGCTCGTCTGGTCCTCGAACGTCGTCATCTCCGGCAGCAGCTCCAACGGCACCGTGGCTGTCCTCTTGGACAGCGGAAACCTCGTCCTCCGGCGCGACGACGGCGAGGTCCTGTGGCAGAGCGCCGAGCACCCCACCGACACGTGGCTCCCGGGAGTCCGTCTCGGCATGAACAAGATCACCGGCCACGTGCAGGCTCTGACTTCTTGGAGGAGCTCCAGTGACCCGGCTCCCGGCATGTACTCCCTGGGAATCGATCCGCACGGGACCAGCCAGTTCTTCCTGTCCTGGAACAGGACCGTGAACTTCTGGAGCAGTGGAGAGTGGACAGGCAGCATATTTGCCGGTATCCCGGAGATGACGTCGCACGACAAGTACAACTTCGAGTTCGTGAACACCTCGAACGCCAACTACTTCGACTACTCCCTTCAAGATCCCACGGTCATCTCCAGGTTCGTCGTCGACGTCTCCGGCCAGGCGAGGCAGATCATGTGGCTGCCGTCCGCCGACGAGTGGATGGTCATATGGGAGGAGCCGCACAAGCTCTGCGACGTCTACGCCATCTGCGGCGCGTTCGGCATCTGCGACGAGAAGAGCGAGCTACTATGTAGCTGCCCCGCCGGCTTCCGGCCCTCCTCCGTGGAGGACTGGGAGCTCGGAGACCACTCACATGGCTGCCGCCGGAACAATCCCTTGCACTGTCACAACAGTTCGTTGCGCGACAAGGACGGCGGCGACGCCTTCTTGCTGGCGCCAGGTATTTCCTTGCCGAGTAACTCGTCGCCTGCGGCTGCAGGAGCATCACCATCAAGCGCTGAAGACTGCAGGTCAGCGTGTTTGAGGAGCTGTGACTGCAGCGCTTACTCCTACGGTAGTCGCTGTGCTCTCTGGTACGGTGATCTGCTCGGCTTGTCTGCCATGGACACAGCAAGCACGGATGACCTTTACCTCCGGCTGTCTGCCATGGACGTGCCCTCGAATGGCCGTCGTAAAAGAACGGTCGTCGTCTTCGTTTCTGTTGCCTCAGCTGCGTCGATCCTAGCCTGCGTGTCTGTCATCGCGACCGTGCTTGTTAAGATGTTTAGGAGAAGACAGAGGAACATAAGATTCTTGCAAGCTGCAGCAGAAGGCGGTAGCCTCGTGGTGTTCAAGTACAACGACATTAGGAGGGCGACCAAGAACTTCTCGGAGAAGCTCGGCGGTGGCAGCTTCGGCTCAGTGTACAAAGGTACGTTGTCCGGTGTCGGCGCCGCCGTCGCCGTGAAGAAGCTGGAAGGCGTCCTCTGCGTTGGGGACAAGCAGTTCAGGAACGAGGTGCGCACCATCGGCATGATCCAACACGTCAACCTCGTCCGGCTCCGCGGCTTCTCCTCCCACGGCAGCGAGCGGCTGCTCGTCTACGACCTCATGCCCAACGGCTCGCTGGACAGGGCGCTCTTCACGGCGGCGCCGGCGCTGAGCTGGCGCGCGAGGTTCCAGATCGCGCTGGGCGCCGCCCGGGGCTTGCTGTACCTCCACGAGGGGTGCCGGGACTGCATCATCCACTGCGACATCAAGCCGGAGAACATCCTGCTCGACGTCAACCTCGTGCCCAAGGTCGCCGACTTCGGCATGGCGAAGCTGCTAGGAAGGGACTTCAGCAGGGTCCTGACGACGGTGAGGGGCACCATCGGGTACCTCGCGCCGGAGTGGATCTCCGGCGTGCCCATCACCGCCAAGGCCGACGTGTACAGCTACGGCATGGTGCTGCTGGAGATCATTTCAGGCCGGAGAAACGCACGAGGCTGGGCGGCTACAGAGCAGGAGGCGTCGCTGTCGGGGTACTTCCCGCTGGTGGCCGCGAGGAAGGTCAACGAAGGGGAGGCGCTCGTCGGGCTTCTGGACGAGCGCCTGCACGGCGACGCGGACGCTCGGGAGCTGGAACGCGCGTGCAGGGTGGCCTGCTGGTGCGTGCAGGACGACGAGGCTCACCGGCCGTCGATGGAGCAGGTGGTCCAGGCGCTGGAGGGGGTCGTGATCCTGGACGTGCCGCCGATTCCGAAATCGCTGCAAGCAGCATTCGCCGGTAATGCCACCTTTGTGGGTACGCCTACCAGTGCGTACTTTGATGGCCTCTCACGGTCCCCTCTATAAAACAGTAGTTAGGGGCATGGATCACAACTCGATTATTATGATCTAAATTGTATATAGAATTATTATAATATTATAATCATAATTATGGATTGTAATAATCGAAGTGTTCGGATCAATAAATTATGGTAATTGATTATGGTTGGTTAGATTGATAAATTTCTACTTTATCCTCTATAGTTTAGTAAGTTGGACCAATCAGTTAGAGACAAGACGTTAACACTCATAATCCTTACCGGATCTCGCCTGGATTATAGGATATATTTTGGATCAAACTTTGATTATATAATCTAATTGTTATAATGGGAGGGGTATCCAAATAAGACTTTAGTTTGGCATTAACCTCAGCGCAAATTAGGACATGTGTCAGTCTTTCTTTTTGTTTCGATATCTGAAAATAAAATGCTAAAAGTAATCTTGTAATAAATTTGTTTGCAACATTTTGTTACATTTCTCCTGTATTTCAGGGGTCTGATTTTTATCTGTTATTGAGAAAAGATATAGTTTTATCATTGTTTGGCTGTAGAAAAAATATGAATTATCTTGTTCTTTAAGAGCTACTTCTACGGACTCTGTAAAAACCCATTCGCACATCCCATTTTGCTGGTTGTTGTAAAAAATCTGTCCAACAATCCCGGACGCGGCTCCTTAGGAGCGGGCGCCATCTCTCCATCTCTCTCAGAAATAGAAAAATGAATCCCCACTCGCTCATCCTTATCCGCCCGGCGCCCGACACAGTAGCATGGTCGGTCATTTGTCCGCGCCTCATCCTCCACCGCGTGCTCGTCGGCTGCAGTGCCATGCCCTACTACCCCGCGCCGCGCGCCGTCCCAGACACCTATGTCGCTCTTTCCCTTGTTGTCCGTCCGTCTTCCAACGCCGTAGTTGCTGACCCCGCCATGGCCGTTAGGGCACATGTGCCGTGGCGCCTCAGATCTTCCCCGGCCGAGCCAAGGGTACCCACGAGCGCGGGCGGTGCTGGTGGTGCTCACGCATTGCGCCACGCCTCGACTCCGACTCCGACGGCTGGAATCGACCGGTCCGGCCTTCCCCTCCCCCTATGTTGCATATGTATGTTTCAAGTGTTTCAAGCGTTTCAGATGTATGTCGCAATTGTTTCATCTTGATGTTCCAAAAGTAGATCAAGGGATGTTGCACATGTTACATTTGTTGCAACTTCAGAGGCATTTGCAAGCGTTTGTTCAAAATATTTCATTTGTTTCAAGACGTATCTTGCAATCGTTTTTTATCTGGACGTTGTATATGTTGTAACAATATGTTCCAAATGTTTCAGTTGTTTTCAAACTTGTGTTGCAGCAAGTGGTTTCATGTTACAAGATGCACTTGTTTTATGTTGGATGTTTCATGTGCTTCACACACATATTGCAAGAGCATGTTCCAAACGTTTTATCTGTTTTCAGTCTTATGTTGCATTCATGTTGCAAGTGTTTTATGTTGTTTGACCGGAGGCGAGCCGGGGGCTGGCGGACGGGGCACGCGGCGCGCCGGGGGGCCGACAGATAGGGGTGCTACAGGTCGAGGCGCGCAGGGGGTGTGCTCATCCTCAGGCGCTCATCCCGACTCCCATGTGTCGCCTGTGCGGACAGTCAGAGAGAGAGAGAGAGATGGCGTCAGGGGAAGGATCGACGGGTGCAGAGACGGGAGCGAAACGCACTCGTGAGCGGGGCAAAGGCGGATGGGGGTGGGCTGCGTGGGCGTCTGACTCACGCGTCCGTGCGGACATCCGGATGCTCGCCACGCCCTTATATTTCATTTTTCCTTCTTTTTCTCCAATCGCCATCCCGATATACTTGCTCTTCATGTTCCCCGAGCCACTCTGCTCTGAAATGCTACTAATAAAACTCAAATGCTGGTACGGTCAAATTCAGTTAACCATTGATGATGAGGCAGGTTTAGAAAATACTCTATCCGTTCCAAATTATAAATCGCTTTGACTTTTTTGTTCATCTATTTTGCTATGTATCTATACATATTATTTATCTAGATATATAGAAAAATAGATGTACCAAAAAAAATCAAAGCGACTTATATAATTATAAGGAGGAGTAGAGCACTAATTTTAGAGAATCTACCGTGGTACGTTACTATTTTGAGAGGCTAAGCCGATATGGAGAGCCGATTTCTTTACTTTTTGTTATCAAAATTTATGGAGTTGCTCCAATTGTACTGGTCGGCTATCTAAGATTATTGACTGAAAATTAAGGCACCTAAAATATAGCAACTCTATTTTTGGGGAAGAAAAAGAAGAAACATAGAGAATGGAATAGTTGTTTCTTTTACATTACCTAAAAATACATTTACAAAATTGAAAGTCCTAGTTTTATTTTTTGAGTTGAGATGAAGAAAGACCAGTTAGCATAAAAGTTTGTGCATGCCATTTGGGATGATCTACCAAATGAACTATAGAGATGGTCCGACTCGAAATATACTGAATACTTTAAGGATACAAAAAATTTAAAGGGTGTTTTCCATGTTTCAAATTTTAAGTGAAGAGACTTAATTTTTTTTCCCAAAAGAATAGATTAATAGTTTAAGAAAGGAATACCAATATATGAAAATAAGAACCGGAAAATCTTGATTTCCTTAACACCCCGTTTGGATGCAGATACTCAGACCTAGACATTGGAATTGGAACCGAGTTTTTCCAATTCTATTGTTTGGATATCTTTGGCATTGAGAGATGGAATTGAAGGGCGTTTCTGTGGTATTCGCCTCCAACTAAATTAGCCCACCTTCAATACCGAGCTCAACTCCTTCGTATTGGACTGAATCATCGTGAGAACAGGATCAGCTCGAAGCTCCCACCGTCGGACCCTGCTACTCTTCTTCCCCACGACCGGCGTCGACCACCCCTCTCTCTTCTCTCTCATGACGGTGGTCAGACACCCTTCTCTTCCTCCCCGCAGTCGGCAGCCCCACGTCCCTTCACTGCTCGAGCTGCGTCGAACTCCAACCCGCCATGGCTCCTCCTCCCTCTCTGTTCGAGGTGCTTCTAGCTCTGACCCGCCATGGCTGCCGTCGGGCACCTCCCCACCATGGCCATTGCCAAGGGGACCAGATCCGCCCGGCCATGGCCGCTGCCGGGCTCCTCCCCACCATGGCCGCCGCCAAGGGGGACCAGATCCGCCGCCGAGTGCCTCCCCGCCATGCCATCTCCGTCCGAGCTCGAGCCAGTCGCAGCCAGGGCTAGGGCCGGCTTCGCGCACAAGCACCTCGCGCCCTGGGCCACCTCCGCCTGGGTGAATCATGAGTGGGGTGGGGAAGAAGACGAGTGAATTCCAGATGTGGACATCCAAACATGAATTGGTATTAGATGTGTCACTCGATTCCAGATTGCGAATTCTTCTACATCCAAACAATAGATTTGGTATTTAGTCCATTTCAATACAATTCCAGTGTCTCAATATCTACATCCAAACAAACCCTAAAAGAAATGAAAAGTCTGATATTCATGTTAGTCAACTATATATCGAGTTGAAATTTCTTTAAGATTTCATTCCTAAGAAAATATGGACCCTTTGAAATCTTTTCCCCCATGGAAATGTTGCACACAAAGTTTTATTGACCATTCCTCTTACTGTTGCATGAAGGGCGGGCCTGGTGCAAGTGGTAAAGTCTTACCGCCTGTGACCGGAAGGTCCCGGGTTTGAGTCGCGGTCTCCTCGCATTGCACAGACGAGGGTAAGGCTTGCCACTAACACCCTTCCCCAGACCCCGCACAGAGCGGGAGCTCTCTGCACTAGGTACGCCTCTTATTGTTGCATCAGCGAAGAGAAGCTTTTGTAAACTGAAGTTACTAAGTCCTACTTGCATTTTACGATGACACAAGCAAGATTTAATAATTTGGCCAAAATAACACTTGAGAGCGAAGTGCTAGAGAAAATTAATTTATGAGTATAAATATTATTATTTTACTTTGTTGGAGCATATGGTCTGTTTGGAATAAATTCATCTTCAATGGAGAAGCAATTTCTAGAAATCGCTACAAGTTTCTTTTCAAAGAACTAGTTGCTATGGTGTATCCATTGTGCAAAGAAGATATACTTCCCCTGGATCAAGGAATGGCTAGAGAACTTTGTTTAATTTTCTTTATCTTCTTTGTATCCTTTTTTTTTTGTTTCTTGATCGTTTTATTTCAAAGAACACTAAGGAAATGATGTTGTTAAGTAAAGATTATGCAACCTAGAGTTAAATAGGTACTATTATTGATCTGTCCCATTGTTAAGTAATGTATTGTTTCGAGAAAAAATGTAATACATTTTAGCATATAGATTTTTATCGTTCTATTTTTCTAGGCTAGAAAGTGCTCATTTTAGAGTTTGGAACGAGACCCGGGTTTTGCTGGTATGCTCTGTGTCTGTCTATGACTAACATCGTCTACTACTGAAAATATATTACTTTCTCCATCTCAAAAAACTTGGCGTTCTAGTATTTGTAGGATAGATTAGTGCTCAACCAAAATTACCCATATATATACTTATATTTATTGAAGGTTAACCATGCTAATTAAAGAATAAGCTAAAAGGAATACATGGAGATATGCAGACCGCAATTACAAGCTGATATGACAAATCTATTGTTCAAAAGCTAAAACATTGAGTTTTTCGGGATATTTTCTGAATGAAGATCAAGATTTACAAAGAGAGTAGCGAATAAAAAAAGAACTCTATGATGAGGTTGATGGGACAAAAAGAAATCTAATCAACAGTTCACTACATCAATGATTTTTTTTACACAAACAAGTTTCCAAAACAAGGGCACACATGGCCTGATACCCAGTGATCTATCACACGGCGTCATGGTTTTTCTTATCATTAAGCCGGCGAGCCTCGGCCGTCGCTCGGGGTGTCCACGTCGCCCGGAATATCTTCAGCCGTTGGATTCTTCGATCGACGGCCCTGGTTCCTCCCACCGCTTTCTACAGTTCCCTCTTCGATCGACGGCCCTGGTTCCTCCCACCGCTTTCTACAGTTCCCTCCTTG